GCGCCCAAGCCCCGCCATGCGGCCCCCGGGGCTCTGCGGGGCCGCGCCGCTTGCCGCGGCCGCTCTCCTGGTGCTGGGGGCTCCCCTGGGTAAGGGGGTGGGCGCGGGGCTCCCCTGGGTGCTGCCGGTCCGCAGGGAGCGGGAGGAGACCCGGCCGGGAGGCTGGGCCATGGAAGCTGACCCGGGGCGCGGGGGTCAGCCCCGGAGGGAGGCCGCTGAGGCTCAGGGGCGGAGCCCCTCAGGGTGGTGACGAGGGTCAGCTCCCGCGTCCCGGGAGCCGGCGGGCTGGGAGCCTCGGGGAGCGGGGCTAAGGGCGGACGGGAAGCTGGCCTGGTGGCCATGCGCCCCCACCCCCTCCCCACCCCGCCCGCAGCGCTGGCCCGCGAGGACTGCCTGTGGTACCTGGACCGGAACGGCTCCTGGCATCCAGGCTTCAACTGCGAGTTCTTCACCTTCTGCTGCGGGACCTGCTACCAGCGCTACTGCTGCAGAGACCTGACCTTGCTCATCACCGAGAGGCAGCAGAAGCACTGCCTGGCCTTCAGGTGGGCCCCCGCCTCCACCCACGCCCCCTCCATCCTCCTCTCAGGAGGCCTGCCCGGGCCTCCCCTCCTCCGTGTCTCCCTCCTTCCCCTCTCCATGTCCACCTCCACAGCCTTAGCCCAGACCTAGCACTCAGCTTGGTGACGAAGTGGGTGTTGGTGCAGGGGCCGGGAAGGTCCAGGAAAGGCGTATTAACGGTCTTGTGCTCGGTGGTGGGTAGGGTGGGTACAGGGTGCAGCTTTGTGGAAGAAGCTCTGGCAAAAAGGCAGGGGACTTGGGTTTGATTCCCAGGTCCACATCTCCGTAGCTGTGTCATTGTGGGGAAGACTCATCCTCACATGGGTCATTATTTCCAATTCATAAAATGAGGCAGTTGCCAGAATTAATGGTTTCAAACTTCTTTTTGAAAGGGACTGCTAATACATAAAAGGTGTAAGGAGACAGCATCATTGGGGGGTTGGAAGAAAAGGGCTCTAGGTTATTTCTAAGGTGCCTTTCAGTGCTAACATGTTCAGAGTCTAATCAATTAAGTTGTAGATGTAGGAGCGATGCAGTGGGGAGCACACTACAAATCCCAGCATGCCTCACACTAGCCAGCCAGGCAGCACGGTCTTCTGGGAAGTGGAGGTCCCCTAAGATCTCCTCCACAGGGTCGGGGCAGAGCCCCTCAAGGAACCCCAAATCTCAGCTTGCTGTGGCCCCCTGCTGGCCAGGAGTTGGAGCACAGTTTTATGGCCACCATAATGAGGAGTCCCTCCTACGAGTGCTGGAAGGTGAGGGGACCTGTTCTTTGTCTCAAGTCCCAAGACCATAGCAGGCATCGCCTCGGCCGTGATCCTCTTCGTGGCGGTGGTGGCCACCACCATCTGCTGCTTCCTGTGCTCCTGCTGCTACCTGTACCGCCGGCGCCAGCATCTGCAGAGCCCCTTCGAAGGTACGGGCGGTCCTGGGCACGGGGGGCACGGGCGCTGGGCACCAGACAGTTCCAGGACGTGCGCCCTGTGTGGTAGCGAGTGCCGCTGTGTACACACACCTGCCAGCCTGCAACCGCAGAGACGAGAACGTGCCGGGGCCGTGTGTGAACAGCGGGCGTGAGTATGCGGGCGGACATGCGTGCATGTGAACGTGCAGATGTGCGCGGCCGGCCGTCTGTCAACAGTGGTGTGGTGCAGCGGGTACGTGCATGCACGGGACTCTTGGAAAGGACACGGGGGGGCCTGTAGTGGTGAGCATTAATTGCACGTACTCTAGTCTACAGTGGACTGTGTGCCTCAGTGTTGGCATGTGACCGAGTGTATGCCCAACCCTGAGGGGCGTGGGCACGGTGTCGCTGCACGGGGGATCAGTGTGGGAGGAAAAGGCTGAGGGCAGACCCCCTGAGAGGCAGCTCTGCTAGATTAGAAGATACCAGACCCTGGAGCTGCCCTGTCCTTGCCTAAGTGGGACATTTCCCAAGCTGTGTTCTCTGGCTCGTGAGGCTTCTGAAACCTGCTGAGGGGAGCAAACCTGCTAAACACAGACTGACCCGCTGGGACCACGTGCACAGCTCCCCGCTCAGCTCTGCCAAGCAATGTCGGGGAGGCAAACGCAGCAGGTGGCCAGCCTGGAGCCCCCAGAACAGACAGCAGGGGCCCGGGGGGGCTTACCTTGGTTTCAGGGCAGGAGGGGGCGGCTTCACCATGGAGGTGGAGTTCTGAATGCTGATCCTTGTCCCCCACCTAGGCCAGGAGATTCCAATGACAGGCATCCCAGTGCAGCCAGTGTACCCATACCCCCAGGACCCCAAAGCTGGCCCCGCACCCCCACAGCCTGGCTACATGTACCCTCCTAGTGGTCCTGCTCCCCAGTATCCACTCTACCCAGCTGGGCCCCCTATCTACAACCCTGCAGGTAAGTGAGCGATCTGGAGCCCCTTGCTCCTGCCTGCCGCCCACCTCTGTGCTGGAACCTCCCCTACCCCTTTCTCACCCTGAGTCCGTCTCCCAGACTTCTGCCTCAGCTGGAAACATCCAGACTACCTCTTCCCCATGGATCCTTCAAGCCTCTGGAATTGGGGGTCACTTCCCATCCTCCTGTGCCACCCCTGACCCTTACCCTGTCTGCTTGGCTTTCAGCTCCTCCCCCCTATATGCCACCACAGCCCTCCTACCCAGGAGCCTGAGGAACCAGCTGTGTCTCTGCTGCCCCTTCAGTGATGCCCCTCTCCTGTATCTGCATCTGGCCCTGGGGGTGGGCAAGGGTCCTCTACTCAGCAGGCCCCAGACCAAGCCAAGCCCAGGGTCCTCCTGGTGATGGAGCCCCAGGGATGTAGACCAGGAGCTGAGCTGGAACTTGGCCATGAAGGAGGGGTGGGTGGGGAGGGCTTGGGGTCAGTGGACTATTTTTACGTGGGACAAGAGAAGGACATGAAAGCCTGGGTCAAAGCCCCTGCTTTCTCAGAGTCCCGCGACTTCCAAGATCCCAGCCAGGAATGCTGGGGCCCGCCCTGTTTGCTCACTGTGGGCTCCATCAGTAGTGGGCGGAAGCCCTGCTCCCGGCTGCCACACCGGCCAGGGCTCCAACTGCTGGATTAAAGCTGTAAAGCTGTAACTCATGTCGGTTGCCTCATTGGGCCCATCCACACCTTCCAGGAGCTCTGCCTTCAGCTGGGCCCTGAGGGCTGCCATGCCACATCCTCCCAGCCGGCAAGGCACCCTCCCCCGCTTCCGTAAGCAGAACCACCTCAGGCTGAGGGCCCCTTGAGCTGGTTCCCAAAGCCAGTGAGGTGGATTTTGCCATAGCTGGGAAGAGGATGCTCATTTGCGTTACAGACGTTCTGCACTAGGGGTCAGGCCCCTGTGACATAAAAGGCATTGCAAATTTTTACAAAGGCACCTTCCCCTTTTCGGGGACACTTAGCTTCACGGGTGGGTTCCGACACTGGCTGACCTTGGGCGTGTCTCTGAACCCAGTTTTCTCAGCTATCCCATGGAGATAATGCCTCAGGGCTGTCATGTGGGTGAAATACGAAATGAAACTGTGACCCCTGTCCGTCCTTTCTGATCAGAGAGGTTCTAGGAGCCAAGCGGAGAGACTGGGCCACCCAAGAGGTTGGTGCAAGGTGTTGCTGTCAGCTGCCTTGGGTCATCAGGGGACCCTAAGACCTTAGGCCCCTGCTGAGCCAGGCAGACACCCTCCACCCTTGGCGATGCCTATGCACCAAGCTCTACCCTCACCTTTGCCTTGTTCCCTGAGGACCTGGGTCCTTGTGCTCTCAGGACTTCTCTGGTGACAGATGTAGGGAAAGAAGTTTTATAGTTTTTAATTCAAGTGGGAAAAGTGCCATCCTGGCTTGGCAACACCACCACCAACCAACGGTCTCCTTTCCCCAACAACCATATGCTCAGCCCCTCCTTCCCTCACCCAAGGTCCTCCAGCCCTGCAGCCTTGTCTTCCAGCTGGGTTCTGCATATGGCCCCTGTGCTAACCATGCCCTCTGGCACCCATATACTGTCAGGGAGGCTCTTGTCACACAGGCTGGAGCAGGGGAGCTCCTAGGCCAGGGTCAGAAACCACTATGGGCAGAACCTCTGTCCATGGATTCACAGCTTCCCCCCTTCCTAATGAAATTTTTAGGGGGGCCTGAGAGTCTGCCCCTGGACCTGACCAGAGAGGGAAGGCTAATGCTGGGGTGAGGGGCAGGGGGGGACAGAGCTGGGGCCACAGCTGCAGATCCACCTTCTCTCTGAGGGTGGGGGCAAGAGGCAGGAGCTGGGGTCACAGTGTCCTGGCTTCTAGTCTGCAAATTCTGCCTTCATTCACACTTCAGGAGAGAGGGTCCCCAGCTCATCTCAAGGTTTGGAACCACCAGTCAGTCTCTCGCTCGCTTGCTTTCCTTCTCCCCCTCTCTCGAAGCTGAGAGGGGGAGGAGGTTGGTAGGATAAGGTTTGAGTTTCCCTAAGGAAAGAGGTGTAAATGAATGCATGGCCATGCCCGGCTGAATTAATTATCCTTAAATCCACAATCTGGGGCCAATTAAAAATTGCTTTGTTGACTGGAGTGGAAGGCAGGTTTATCCCAGTCATAGCTGCCTCCCAGAAGGTGGAGTCTCCCCTCCCCAACATTTCCAATTAACTCTGCAAAGCACTGAGAATTCTAAAGAAAAGGGGGAAACTACAAGAGAGTGGGGCATTTCACATGCCCCGAGCAGAGAGAAGGCCTCTTTCACACCCTCTAGCTCTGTAAATAGGGCAATCCCGCTGAATCTCTCGCAAAGCTCTCCATCTATGACCCCATCTTATCTGCTTACCACCAGGGGAACGGCCAGCAGGAGAACAGAGCTGTAGCTGCCCCTCCCCATCATCATCAGCAGCTAGCACCCCTGAAAACCAGGCAGGCACCCTACAAATGGGAAGATACAGGGTGGGAGGAGCAGTGACCCTCAAGGATTTACACTCGAGTGGTGTAAATGGGGTCCTGCTGAGCTGCAAGGGCACATCGAGGACCGGAAGGGGAGGTCTGGGAGGCACAGATGGAGAGCAGCACTCCACACAAAAGCAGGGCACCTCTTTCTTGGTGCTTGCTCAGGCAGGGGAGGGGGAGACCGCTCAAAGGGTGAGGGCAGGGGTTCAGATGCAGGGAGAGCTGGAGCAGAGGTGAATGGGGATACAAAGGGGCCCCAAGAAAGGAAAGGGGAGCACTGTGGGGGGAGAGGAATAGAATGGAGGCAGCTGGGACAGCTGACACTTCAGGCAAGGAGTGAGGGAGGGTAGGTGGGATAAAGGAAGAGTTAGAGTCCTGGAGAAGGCACACTGGCCAGGCAGAGCAGGTAGAGCACAGGGCAAGGGGGTGGGAGTGAGACATCACCAGGCTGGACTCCCAGGCCAGCGGCCTGGCCCCCACACCACAGGAAGGCTAAAGCGGTAGCTGGGCCCCAGGCTTGAGACCAGCCTGCAGAGGGGTGGGGGGCACATGGTACAACAGGCTTGGTCGTCCTGGTGGTCCGGAAGCCACTCTCAGTGGGTGACCGGCGTCCAGATCTTTGCTTCTTAAAGAAGGCCCTGTGAGTGGCCATGGTCCCAACTCACAGCACCTGCGACTGAGCCCCTCGCTCACTGGCTTCCTGCGACAGGAAGTGGGGCGGGGAGGCGCCCGCCATCCCGCCCATGGCCAGCGCCAGAGCCTCGGTCCTGCCTAGCCCGGGGTCCCCCAAGGCCTGCGGGGGCGGGGCCCGCAGGTGAGAAGCCAGTGCAACACTGGGTGGCGGCGGGCCCCAAAAGACGCCCTCCGTTGGGGGAAGGGGAGACCCAGGATGTGGCCCCTGGAAACGAAAGGGGCCAGCCAGGGTGAGACGGCTCGGAGGGCCTGCCGGGGCAGGGTTGGCTGGAGGCGGGGGGGGACGGACCCCCTTGGCCCAGGTCGGTAGGGTGCAGTCTGTGGCAAGAGACGTAGTTTGAATACCTATGCATCAACTTGTTCAAGTCATTTGCTGCTTTTGAATCTCATTTCTTCCCTGTAAAAGGCGGGTGCGGACGAAGATAGATCCTTTCCGGCTCATGCACCTTGGGTTTCAGGAAGGGAAACCGGGCAGACGGGCGCCTGCGGAGGCCGATGGGGCAGGTGGGCGGCTGTGGGTGCACTACTCCGCAGAAACGCGGCTCCTCGAGTGTGGCCCGTTTCCCACATTCGGCCGACCCCTGAGCACACGCGGCCGCTCGATGCCTGGCGCTGCCCCCCCCGCCCCTTCCAGGCGGCGGGAAGGCGCCCCCCAGACCCGGCGCTGCGTCCCATCTGCCCACCTTCCCTGGCCCCCAGCGCAGCTCGGCGCGCTCCTGGCGCGGCGGGAGAACCCGGGACGCGGCCTACCCGCAGGTGGCGCTGCGCTCCCGCATCAGGTTCTAAGGCACCAGAGGAAGGATGACCTCATCAGCCCCCAACCCCCGAGGACTGTGTGCGTGTGGTCTGGCTATTGGAGATCCGTCGTTTGGGTTTGGTTAGGCTTTCAGTGTTTTCCTGAGGCACCATTATGAGTCTCAGTTCAGGAAGGGGAGGAGAGGGACCTCTCATCAGAAGTGACTCTAAGAGCGGTAGATCTATCTGAGCTCTCTTTTTATTAGCTGTGTGATCATGGACTTGTAGGTTAATCTCTCTGGGCTGAACTTTATCTGCAAAATGGAAATCTCCAGAATTGAGAGAGCACCTGAAGCGACCTGCAGCATCTTGCCAAGGCCTGGCAACCACAGACACAGGGTAAATGGAAGCACTGGTTGCACTCAGCTCCAGCTAACACCCTTTGAGGTCCAGGAGGCAGCAGGT